AGACAGACAAACTTACAAACAAACAAACAAACTTACAAACAAACAAACAAACTTACAAACAAACTTACAAACAAACTTACAAACAAACAGACGAAGCGAATTATATATATGGGGTGATCAATAATGATGTTCTCCAACTGAGCGCGGCCAACTACTCATCAATTACAAAAGGATAATACATCAATCATAAATAAAAACGTGCTTCGACACGTGGAAACAAAGGAAATGATAGAAAATCAAAAAGGTTATTTATGCGATAAATCTACATTAAAAAACACCTAATAAACACTAAACCTACGTGCCGGCTGCCTGCGTTAGTAGGGGCCATGGAGGCTCTCCAGCTGCCTGCGATCCCATTCCTTGCGGGTCCATTTGCGGCGATCCTCGGATGTAGGACGAGCGGGAAGGTGCGCATGATGGAGTTGCCCCAGGGTGGCAACTGCGCAAGACGGGGGCAGGCTTGGGCAAGGACGAGCCTCAGGATCGCGGGTAGGAGGTAAAGGAGGATACGATGTACAGACGGAAGACTGCGGACTCCAATCCGTAAGGTCAGCCCAAACTGCTCGTGGGCCCAAAAAAATGGAAGCTGCGTCGAATAGTCAGCGAAGACACTGTTGCGCGGTGAGACCCCAGTGCGGACTGCGAAGACGGCCCTTTAAACATTCCAGTTCGGCTGACGGTTGCTCGTGCAGAACTTGAATGCAGAAATGGACGTAAAGACGGACAGTGCGAAGAAGTCGTGCAGAAGTCACGACAGATGGCACAAGGTAGCAGTTATGGAATAACATTGAATAGAATATAAACATAACAGAATATTCAGCAGAATATAGCAAGTTGCAGTTCAAAAACTTAATTCTCGCGCGCGCAACCCTGCAACTATCCGAACGGGGACGGAGCGAACAGCGTTGGCAAAGCGCTGGCAGGTCCCGCCGCGCATGTTGGCAAATTGCCGAAGTCGATCTGTGCGAAAAAATGGCGCCGTTACTACCCAGTGACTGCAGGCCGATTCACGATAGGCGTACTTCAGGTCGCTGAAGAAGGTACTGAACACCGAAATGTACGAGAACATACCAGGAACAGTTACGACCTGTTAGTTGAGCTATTTACTCATTCAGATTTACGACAAGTAGTAAAACGAAGTACCAAGTTATGGTAACCCCTCCCAACGCACGCAATCGCCCACGGTCTAGTGGTGAAAGCAATGGCGCTCAGCATTAGGCGTTAGCGTAGCGGTGAGCCAGCCGTGCGGTCGCAATGCAGCACCGGCTACTCCGAAGTAATTAAGTTCTTCAATTAGTTGCTACTTAGTTCGCTGGTCTCATGACGGATGGAAATTTTTCGAGTCGAAAATCGAACGAGCTGATAATGACTTGCTGTGATCGGTTTTTCTTCAGAAAGAAGTATCCAATGGTACCTAACACACACCACAACACTAACCACCTAACAACAACTCCTCAATTAACAAAACATAGAAGCTGAACGGGTAAATAACGTCAGAAGGAGGAGAAGCGCTTGCTGCTTTAGAGGTATGTTACTGATATCTACTGCTGGTTCGTGACCAGTGTTTCTGAGGGAGTGTTGATTCACAACTAACAGAATTTTAATTCAAAGTATGTTGGTTTCCAGATGTTCATTGTCCGGATTTCCTCGGTCCGCTGTCAGATATCTCCAGTGCGGACGTATTTTGAACGCTTGTGTTGCTTACGACCCACGTTGCGAGGAACTTCTGAGTAAAGCTGTGAAACTCGGTTAGTCCTGTTGGAAAGTCCTTCAAAACATACCCCCACTTTCGTCTACGTTCTGGAGTCAACCTTCAGATCCTGATGCGTTGGCATGGCTTGAACTGGGGATCTGCCTCTCTAAAAAGCCGGATGTACAGTTCGCTATTGAGTGTGTCGAGGTACAAATTATGCTTATTCAAACCTTAATCAAAGCAAGTTCCTTACAGTAGGATTCGCAATCCTTCTGGTTTTCAAGGACGCGCGCCAAAGTAAATCATGTGGAGGGGTGGGTTGGGGGAGGAACAGGGGTTAGCGTGTCTATGTTTCTAATCTTGGCTCAGGCTTAACAGAGCGCAGACGAAAGTTCCAATACAGTCGCGCTGCCAAGTGCCTCCCCCCAAGTTATGGCGTCACTCGGAGTCCCATTACTTGCGCAGGCTTGATGCTACATCATTTGGTTCAGTTTGCTTCCTCTTACCAATGTAGCAAAGGTATTCCACTCAATTCGCAACGGGAGGAGGATTATTTTCGAAAGCGATGGCCTTTCACGGGGTCAGATTCAAACCACTATAGCTAGTTGTGTCTACGTAAGAATTAGCTTTGTAAAACTATTACTGGAACGAGGAAAACGTATGTTCATCAAAGAGATTCAAGAAATCTTCGAAATTTTCAGCGCAGCCTTGAACTCGAACATACGTCCCGAGCATTGTACACCCTCTCTATGCTGTTACGAGCTAAGCTCATGAAAACTGTTGATCCAGTTGAAAGATCCGCACTTCAGTAAGTTACTTATTTGAATGTCGATAAAATCTGAGCAGTTATTCTCTCCGTCTTATGTGAAAAAGTATTTCTATTAAACTCTCGTAACTACAAGCTCAACATGACAAAATCGTCGTGACGGTATCTGTTATTATTGTTATTATGGTTAATGGAGATCTCTGACGCCCTGGTGACAATGTGGCGTTCGTACCTTGCGCTACCTTTTCCATTTTCGTTATAAACATGAATGTAGAGGCCACGCAGGGGTTCAGATTCAGCTACCGGCTAAATACGGCACTGGTTTCGGCCATTTGAAGACTTAAAGAGATACATATGTGGTGAAATTATCCGATGACCCTTTGTGGTAATTACAATTAAATTTCTTTTGAATTCAACGGGAAAACGCACCCTCGGTGCGAAAAGATGAATGTTCTGTCCTCAATCAGAGCACTGAATGATATCTATTTCCTTGACATTTTGGTGTTGTCAGTGTGGAGTAATTCGGCTTCCCATTTACCATTTTTGCTTCTTTTTCTTATTATTCTTTTTGGTTATTTATAAAGGCGAAGAATTGCCCCTTCTTCTACCACTCCTAGTTGTGAAGCTAGCACAATTCATCTCTGTAATCATAGATCTACAGAAAAACAGACGTGAGTAGATGCGACGCCTAAGAAAATCGATGGTCATTTTTGAGATCATAAATATGTTGTCTAAATGCCGGTTCTATGAGAATCGATGAAATATGCCTTATTTGATGCGGTTCTGGGGGTGACTTCGCAGATGTATTGTAGAAATGTGACCTGAAAGCGAGATAACTTTGGGTAATGTAAAAATTTCATTGGTGTTGAGACGTAATCTGACTCACTCAGATTATGGTTTTATATGTTAGCATCCCAACGACATAGCTTACTATTCGTTAGTTATGTTTCTTTTTCAGAAAGCAGTCCTCACAGTTAGCGCTTGAAGCTGTAACGCTCGATCCAAGCTCTGGCCTAGCCCATTGCTGTTTAGGAAATTCACTTTTCCTGGAGTTCTTCAATACAGGACAAGTAAACGAAGATTTGCTGGTTAGTTTGAGTAGGTTTCATATTCCATTCAGGCGTAGAAGATTGATTTGATGCCAATAATCCACTGCTGTCAAATTTTTACTTTAAACCAGTGTTTGAAATCGGAAAATGAAAAAGTGTTCGAAAGTTGCTCATTAAGTCGTACAAACATCCTTTAAGAAACAAGCTTGCAATGAGTATCGTCTTGCTCTTCAATGTGGGAAGGAGTATCGCAACGCTGATCTGCATCTCAATGCTGGGGCGGCCTTCCGGTATTCTCTTTTCATTTGCATTAGGTTTCATTTTTTGTGTTTCTTTGTTTCTTTTTCAATTTTTTAATTTTGTTTCACAATCGCTGTAGCCCAGCTTTTGTTTATCGTTGTTTATCCTTTTTGCATTTTTCCTATAACAGTACCTCCATCATCTACGGTGTCGACAGCATCGAAAATTTTTGATGTCTCACAACAAAAGCATCTCCTGATTGTGTCGTGACGTCTAGAAATGACACTGGAACCCGAATAAGTCCGGCTTTATTAGAGATGAGTAGAATTTTCGGGGCCGAAATAGTTCACGCGGGTGCAAAGTATTGTAGCCATGCTACTTCATGTTCTTTGTGCCTTGTCTGGTCTTGTTCAGTCACGTTTGGGACGCCAGCTAGCAGACATGACGTGTGGTATTCTCCCCACCCCCCCCCCCTCCATCCTATCTTTGCCTTGATTTTTTTCGAGGGACATTGCTCCGCGCTATTCATAAGGGAACGGCGATTGGTCGGAGTGGCCTCTGAAATGAAATGTATACTGAGAAACTCTGCCCTGGGCGGTGATCACCAATCCGTCTTCAATGCATTTCCTCTTTGCTTTTTCGATAAAGCTCTTTGTGCACATTATAGACAGTTTTGTATGGTTAGAGAACTGAATTTCAACGAAGCAAATGTTTCTGGAGAAATAAAACCCACTTAAGTACATTTTGAGCCGCTAATTTCTTCAGTACTCATCCATAACTTGAAGTCTTTGGAAGACTTTGGAAACTTGTACTTTTTTGTATAAGCACTCAATATCCTGATCATGAACACGACGTCAAAAACGAATGCCGTATTTGCGTCCAGTTCGCCGAGTAATTACTACATGTAACCGATGGACAATGGAACTTAACGGTGCCAAAGTGGAGCCAAAGGCTGTGGGACCGAGAAAGGGCTTCATATTCATGAATAGAAACATCAATTACACCCATTGATGGAGCTGCAGCGGAAGAGTTTTCTGCTCGTAGAGTTCTCTTACTGGGTCGATATCGAACCAGGGCACATCATTGGTTGGGGATTTTAGTCGAGTCCCGTACGACCCCCCCCTTTTTGGGGTTGGTACGACCCCCCTCCTCCGGCCCTCTGTCCCTCCTCATCGAATCGAGCCGTCGAGGGGGGAATATATACTACGCATGAAAACAGGAAAATCACGAAAAGTCATCCACCTCCTAGCTCCTAGAAACCAAAAAGGAAATACGACCCCCCCCCCCCTTTACAACGTCCGTAAGACGAGAAAAATCAAAT